TTACCTTTAGCACAACCATATTCCAATCATCACTAATGTTGACGCCCTTCTGATTTAGGAACAGTTTGTAAGTTGCACGAGGCCGAAATGTCGGCGGTCGTTTCAGTCATATTTGGGTCAACGGTGGTATTGACGTCCAAAGCCATATGTGACGCATTTTTGACGCATTGCCCAACCTTCTTCCTTTGTTTTGAAGCTGAGCCTATTGGGGAGGAATGGAGTTTACTCTCTGTCACGATTCCTACAAGCTTAGCGCGTATGGTATCTCTACTTTTCGATAATGGATAAGCTGGGATAAACAGTATGTTCACTTTCGACGCGGTAGAAAGTAGGACGACACTCCTAAAAGTCACTTACTTAAAATAATCTGCCGAGATAAGGCTGAATGTTGCCGCATTCTTAAGCGGACCACAAGCCTCAAGGGATATACGCTTTGTCCTGAGAGATCTTTGTCCAAAGGATCGTGTCAAGATGAAAATGGTCGCTGATGAACTGAGAACCCGAAAAGCTAACGGTGAAACCAATCTGCACATCGTGGATTTTCTCGTGGGGGAGGGAACTCAGAGAGCTCGCTGGTGACCAATCCTAGTGCTGCTCGGGTCGTAAGAGCAAGGACAACACTTGGATTGCGGGTGATGTCTGCCAACATCCGGAGCATCAGGAACAAACTGGACGAAATCTTCTGCAACAAATAGGAGCTATGTCCAGACCTGCTTGACTTTACCGAGAAATAGCTATCTCCTGATATACCGTATGGAGACATACATATCCCAGGATAGCAGATCTCACGAGCGGATCACACTGAGGCGAGAAACGGGGCGGTGTCATAATGTACTGCAGATCTGAACTCAAGGTGCATAGTATTGAAACTATTGTTGAAGAAGATATAGAAATGCTCTGGTGTCAGATATACGACGAATGCAAACCCTTCACCATCCGGGTGGTGTACAAGGCCCCGTCGAGTAACGGCAACCGGGTTTGGCATTCACTCAAAAGTTACGGGAGTGGCAGGGACTGTCTAATATTAAGTGACTTGATTGCGTATAGTATTGGCTGGGATCTTCTTCACTGCGGACTCTCTGCAGGGTCAATTGATGCTGGTCTTCTTGTAGCACTCCTTGATGCAACCTATCTCAGCACCTCTGCACGCCCACCAGAATTCTCCAGGGCCAGTAGCCCCACATGCTTGATTTGGTAATTTCACTTGTACATTCTGACATTTCTGGATTGGTCACTCTCTTCCCTATTGGTCATAGTGGTCACTGTACTCTCCTATTTATTTGGACTTGACGATTTGTCACTTAAGATCGAAGGGTTTACCAACGAAACTTTTGGCGTACCAATCCTATCTGCCTAAGAAAGGCGGCTAACATGTTGGACCGGAATACCTCACAAAACCTTGACCTCGATAGTGCTTGGACACTTATGCACTTCAAAATGTACCAGCTCATTGAACAAGTCATTCAAAACTCAAGAAATAGCCCAAACGGGAGTTTCTCATTAGATTGCGAAGAAAATACCGCATTTAATGAATCAGCGAAAACAACTGTGGAACCGTTTCATATCTACTAAAGTGGCCTTGGACTATAACAACTACCAGAGGCTTAGCAACTTATATACCACGACAAAGCGGGGGGATAGTCAACAACAGGAGCAGAGTCTGGCAGAACACCGTGTGTCCAGACCTAACAAACGGTACGCTGAAATGAACAAAAGGACCAAATTGAGCTGTGGCATAACGACTTATTCATCCAGTACGAAAGATTCCGTTCTATACGAAGACTGCGAGTACGCATATATACTGGCCCAGTATTACTCATCAGTTTGCGCACTGTAAGGCACACTGCACAACAATCTCGAAGCACCGGATCTCAACCTTCTTGAGGACAAAGAATTAAACGCGGATATTGTTGAGAAAATTTTGCTCAAGCTAGATCGTAACTTGTCACCTGGTCCTAACGAGGTGCATCCATTCTTTTTCAAGACAGTGACAGACTACATTGCCACATCCATCTGCCAGAATATTCAGCTTCCTCTAGAAGCTGGACGCTTACCCGTCTACTGGAAACTGGGAATAGTGATGCCAAAGCACAAAGGTGGAAATCTACTTGACCCCAAGAACTCTCGCCCAATCTCTCTGACACTGATAATTTCCAAGGTCATGGAGAAGATCATTAACCGCGCTCTACAGAAGCACTGTTCTGACCTGAACATCACCTCCACTACACAGCACGGGTTTCAGTAGGGACGCTCCTACACTACCAACTTACTGGTAATGAAGGAAAAATGGGCAAGATCAATAGATGCTGGCAAAAGCCTAGATACTATCTTCGTTGACTTCAGCAATGAATTTGAGAGAGTCCCACATCAGCGATTGTTGTACACGCTTCCGTAAACTGGTGTCGGTGGACGCCTATACTCGTGGATCGCCGACTTCTTGGGAGACAGACCCATGCATGTGCGAGTGAATGAAAGCCTTCCTCAGCTGGTGCTAATGACAAGCAGGGTCCCAAAACGATCTGTCTTTGGACGTGAAATTTTCAAGCTGTTCATTAACGACCTTCCCGAAACTCTTCAAACCGAATGCCTGATTTATGCTGATGACATCAAGCTTTGGTAGGTGGTCTTGGACGTCGCTACTACTGAAAAGGTACAGACCAAGAGGATCTACTACACGACTGGTCTACCAAGTCTACCTATCAGATATGCCAAATGTTGTGTCCTCCACATAAGTACATCTGACCCACTCGGCGTCCACCATATATTTGGGTTTTCCAGCTCAAGAATGCCGCCCGGGAGAAAGACCTAGGTTAATTGCGTCAGACGTAAAAAACCACCGAGGACACACTAAGGAGAGTGGCGACTGCTAACAGGATGTGTGATGCCATAAGAAGATAATTCGCTCGTATGATACCAAAATCTTCAGGCTACTATTCACCTCTCATGTACAACATATTTTTGAGTACGGTCTACCGGCTACGTACCCACTTTTAAAGCTAGCCTGTACCTTAATAGAAAGGGTCCAGATACAAGGATGAATGTTCGCCTTCGGACTTCGATATTTTTCCGTACCCTCTTCGACTCCAACAGATGAGCCACTTCACCCTGGGCTACCGTCGCCGCCGTGGAGACCTCATCCTCAGGAGGCGCCTTCTAAAAGGGGAACTTGGAAATGAACTACAGCAGATTTTCCAGCTCGACATAGGAAGCCCAGCATAAGGGCACATTTGAAGAGTATTTAAACCGAGGATACTCCGAGTCCGCTCCGCCGTCGCCCTTTCTACTCGGGTGGTAAAAGACTGGCACAACCTCCCAGGAACCGTAGTCAGCACACAGTCTGAGGGAAGTCTTCAGCGGCATTTGGATCCCCATCTACGCAAAATGCCTAGACAGCACTGTTCCACTGCGACTCCCGTGGTCACATGTGAACTGTTTTGTCGGTAAGGCGCAGTTGCTTCCCGGGCTGATTTGGAGGCGACGGAGCTAACATGGGACTTCCCTTCCGTCCTTTACAAATCAGTGAACTCAATAGTGTCCCTTAATGTTCGATTATGGCCATCAGTATTTCGTGCTTCATCGATTCTTTTCGTGCGATCATCACAAGTGCAGTTACTATACCTCTTGCTATGAACCACAGAGGATCTGATCTACCCATGTGCAGCTTCAACTGTTTTTTGTGTGCTGAGAACACATAGTATAAAACTTACTGAGGCAAATAGTACCTTGGATATCAGCTGATACATTCTATGGCATAATTGAAAGTCACACACTACTGTCAATCTGCGCGGTAGAATGGGAATCTTTTGTTTAGATTTTACCAACCATTGGTTCGATGGATGCTTTTCCAGCCAAAGGTCGAGTGCTTGTTGCCAGAGTGTTGAATTGGCTGTATTTCCAAGTGTGACTTGTTCGGTGCGTCCAAGGTTGGTGGTGTAGGTTTAATCGATTGGTTCGTTCACTCGACAAACAAAGCGACTGAACAATTTAGAGACGAAGTTTCCGGTAGCTACTTCAACTGTCGGCGAAACCTGCAATTGTTGGCCCATGGTACATATATTGTGGTTTTCTGTTGTTTGTGACCAAGGTGTTGCTCTATAGTTTGTGATTTGGTAAAGTACTCCATTATGTTGCTGTGGGAACCGTGTGCAATATGCCATCTGGAGATAAAAGTTATTCCACACAAGCTAGATCCGAAAGACGGAATGCACTAAATAGCTTGTGTAGTGAGAATTGTGTTTGTAACTCGGATCTGAATACGAAACCGGAATGAATGCGAATAACACGGTACTTTTAGCGGATGAAATATATTGCTCAATAGCACTAAAATCATGTCTTACTTGGGGATTATGGTCAGCCATGGTGACGAGTTGTTGTTCAAACCGATACACGCAGCACGCAAGTTGGTTACGTTACCTTCTTTCGGTAACGATTGAGAGGCGAGAGAACTAAAAACGTTTACCCTGTTGTGATTAGTAGCACCTTTTTGCTGGAAACGGGGGTGAGGTATAGGAACGCCCAGCTTCAACAGGATCCAGGTGAATCCGAGTGGATTAGCCACCTCATCACAACAGCGAGGCTTGGATTAACATGCTACTCTGTGTCCCCGCACCGCCTTGTCTTTAACTAGAATAATGATTCTACAGTAAGCATGAATATGAACAAAGAGTTTTAACGTTAGAATTTGAGGTGGACCTGCACATCAAAGTAGTGGTCTGCTTGAGTACGCCAGAAATCGCGAGCAGCATTTAGACTGAATGAAGTGTACCGGAACTTGACGTTTACCCCAATTTGTCCTTAATGTCTAGACGCAAGATTGGACGCAGTGCTAATGATTACACGATAATTGCATCATGTGTATCAACTGACCGATCCAAGGTATATAGCTGGACGAGCGTGGCACAGTGAGGTTCATACAGGACGATAGGTATCACTCTGCATTGAGATGAGTGCTCTACTCTTTGTGATCACTGCCTTTTGGCTGGCTCTCATTCAGACCACGGATGCAATCCCCAGTAAGTCAGTTGTGCAATGTATGCTACTAACGCTCTTCGATATGGTTCAATTGGCTAAGGAATTCTTTTGCATTCAATTGTCAGTTGTCCTCAGATAACCGAAAACCCCATGCGGCTTACCAGGCTAGGTCTGTTTGCAACCAGCTAAGGGAAGTTGGCGGGGAAATTGACACTTGACAGTGCAAGGTACTTTCTGAGAAACAACTTACATTAAACATTCGCATCCAGGCTGCCGCACGTAATCGTAGTTGGCATGAACGCACACCAGTCAGAATGTGAACATTATAAATGTAGTTGCGTAGGCTAATTTGAGAGCTCCGGAGTCATACACAACACAGTTAGGCTCCATGTTACAGTCCTACATGAGCTGAACTAATCCAAGAAGGTGTATAGACTAGCAAAGGTTGAATGGGATGGGTATCATTTGATGTTAAAGCACAATTCGATGGAGTGGAAAAGGAAGGCTACCTTATGTGGTTCCCAGGCGCATGACTCGTACATTGTTGATTGTCTTGTTGCATCCTCCGATTTGTTATGAGCATACGTTGGCACAGGGAGGTGACCCAACGACTATGGTTGGACGTACGCATATTTCTGTTCAAATGGTTGAGATTTCAGTACAGTGTGTCACTTTCCGAGTATAATATCACATTGGTACTAGTGTTCAAGGTTGAGTTGCGTCAGATTAATATATTATTATACAAACAACGATTACTAATACATAACCTAGGTGAAACAGTTATGCAGAAATGGATTGAATAACGCTCGGTGCACGTATGACAGTGGAGTTTGTAGTCGCATATTTCGTACCAGACAAAGATTTTGTACATAGACCCTAAAAGCTACCTGGTTTCTTTCACTAGATCTGCTCTCTCCCTTTTTCTCAGATCACTGCTACCTTAAACCGGATGGAGGATTGTGCAGAGCTTACATCCCCAGCTATGCGTATGACGATGAAACAGGTAGATGTGTACGATTTATCTACGGAGGATGTGGCGGGAACAGAAATCGTTTCCGTTCCAAGGAATCGTGCGAGAGGGTATGTGGATGAGCCGACCTCTGCAACAATTGACTTCCTGGTGCATGAATTCTCGAGAAGCTTGTGATGTACCACACGTTGCTGCTATAAAATTGCATAACAAACAAATCGGAATTTCTCGAATATCTGGTGGTACTGTGTGGAAAGTGCTGCGCGGTGGTTTTGCCCAACTGGCGACATATTCATTGGTTTGTAAATTTGAACTAAGTGGCCTGAGCTGGATCAGCTCATGTAGTTTATGTTGCCCTCGATTTATCACAGCAGCTGGTGATTTCGTCTGACCCTCTCACCAATCTCGAGCTTAGGAACCTGAATATGACGAGAACAGTCGGTACTACGAACTTCCCGCTTGCAGAGAAATTTCGAAAGTACTTTTCCACGTGCACACATACAATGCCTCGATTGAGATTAGTCACTACATCCAAACTACATATAATGCCGTAAGTTCAGCCTCTAAAGCGTCTGCTGACTGACCAACCAAACCGGAATTTACTCCACCGAACACAGACAGTCATGGCTAATCCACCAGTTTCAATCACTATATATCTTACTCAGCATTAGGGCTAAATATGTTGTGATGGTAGCTGTTACAGTTGTCATTAGCTTGTCTCGATAAACTTGCTCACAACCTAACACATTCTGAGGTAAAATTCGGTCAGGACTGGTTCCAATATCTTATTCCCATTACGTTACCTGTTCTTCGCCGTAGTTCAGTAAAGCGTTTTTCGAAGTGTGCAACAATCCGTGATTTGTCTTTCAAAGATACGTTGATCAAGGAGGATACTGGTCCCGAATAGACCCAAAACCAGGCATCAACCAATCAGAGTTCAGTGGCTGCGCATAGCGCAAGCTGACAAACCGAAGAATAGGGTCGTATAGCCCGGGAGCGCACCATCCTGCAAACAAGCACTTCCACATCACCCACCAACGTGAAAGCAACATCCTGTTGAGCAACAGTTAGCAAACATTAACGCTGCACCGTAAAACATCCCACGAACTTTCTCCAATACAGACAAAGCTTTGAGGACCGCAGTGAAAAACCGAGCTAGCCAATATATGCGCCGGCTGCATAAACGAGTATAGAACCATCAATTACGTCCAAATCAGTCGTTACTCCAAATATTCCGTGATGCTCCATGGATATCCTGAAGGCTACATCTGCTACAATGCATGGAGAATACGCTTTCTGGATCGAATTACGTCAGGTGCTCGAGCCTGCGTAACAGATCAGCGTTGTCAGTAAATTATCGAGCGCCTGTGGGGGACTTACGCTAGTGAACTACATTTTATTGACTTGGAACTCACTTCCATTTCGCCAACATAACCGTGTATGGTTTGAACTGATGTTGTTCCTTTTATGGTTTGCGAGGCAACTATTTCAACATTCACGGATAAATGATGGTGTTTATGCACAAGCGATGCTACTGGCTTTGTACATCCTGCCCTTGACGTGGCTTTGAAAGGCGACCGTATGGTATCCTGATAAATCGCATCAATCAAGATGGCAATTCCAGTCCTACTAACGGTGACGGATAACGTGCTATTGTGAGTACTTGATTAGCTCGTGGGTGATGAGTTGTGTGCAGCCTATGCTACAAAATGGGCTGTCATGTGCATGAGGAGGGAGGTCACTTTTCTGATTTTAAGCTTGGGCAATTGGTTGTGGATGGTTCGAAAATACACAATTCCGTGGATTATACATCGTTGCTGAAGAACGGATGCAGCGAGTAATCCAGACATCGCCTTAGCCGTTCTCCAGTAAACCACTTGGGAATGCGAATTAGATATTTGGTATCTACGACGTGTTTTGTTACTCTGGTCCAGAGCTAGGAACGGGTGCACTCAGGTGCAACCGGTAGGCTGAATTGCTAACTGTTCAATGACGCAAATTGCTTTGACGGCGCAGGTGAGATGCGACACAGACGCCACATGTGTGTTACGACCGCAGAGTAAACCGAGCCGTTCGGCTGTGAGAAGTGAAGATTAGCAGACGCCACAGCCGCAATGAATGCGTCATACCGCGACCGCATGGCAAGACCTAGGGAACGCACGCCGTTTAGCTTTGAGAACTGAACGTAAACCGGACACCACATAGCCGCAATGAACGTGTCATGATTCAATCGATCGGTAGTGGACCATCATGCAGGTGAAAAGCCAGCAAACGGGGCTTCCTGCGAAGTGTTTTGCTGTGCTAACAACTGAGAAAAACAGCCTGGCCGTATATGATGACCGGTCGATGAGCGCCGTATTGCTATCGCCACAAAAGCTGTTATCGCCTCATGACTGGCTTCCAACAAATCCGTAAGCTTTAATTAGGCTGCTTTCATTGCTAAAGGGATAATACTGCCGGAAGCACATGGTAAGGTTAGTGTTGTTCGCTTTAACGTTTCGATCGTGTGTGTGTTCCACTGAAAATTCCCCCTTCATGGGTGCATAAAAACGAATTATTGACGACTTGACGTGACAATGCTCTTAGGCGAATGCGCCTCTGTAACCAAAAACACGCATGGCACTTTCAACATCTAATTCGTTGATATCTCTTGACATTTCACACATTTCATATAAATATCAGTAAATAAATGTATAAATGTAACTTCTTCATTGCACACGAAAAACACTATAGGAGGCCTGATCAATTTGCACAACTGGCCATTGTCTGACTGTGAGAGCAATAGTTGTAATAATGAATTAATTGGTGTGCTGCCTACTGGTGCCATCATTGCGTCCGGGTAGACTGAAATCTAAGAGCATTGTCACGTCAAGTCGTCAACAATTCGTTTTTATGCACACATGAAGGGGGAATTTTCAGTGGAACACACACACGATCGAAACGTTAAAGCGAACAACACTAACCTTACCATGTGCTTCCGGCAGTATTATCCCTTTAGCAGTGAAAGCAGCATAATTAAAGCTTACGGATTTGTTGGAAGCCAGTCATGAGGCGATAACAGCTTTTGTGGCGATAGCAATACGGCGCTCATCGACCGGTCATCATATACGGCCAGGCTGTTTTTCTCAGTTGTTAGCACAGCAAAACACTTCGCAGGAAGCCCCGTTTGCTGGCTTTTCACCTGCATGTAGGTCCTCTACCGATCGATCGAATCATGACACATTCATTGCGGCTATGTGGTGTCCGGTTTACGTTCAACTCTCAAAGCTAAACGGCGTGCGTTCCCTAGGTCTTGCCATGCGGTCGCAGCATGACGCATTCATTGCGGCTGTGGCGTCTGGCTAACCTTCACTTCTCACAGCCGAACGGCTCGGTTTGCTCTGCGGTCGTAGCACACATGTGGCGTCTGTGTCGCATCTCACCTGTGCCGGCAAAGCAATTTGCGCCATTGGACAGTTAGCAGTTCAGCGTACCGATTGTACGTCAGCACCTGAGTGCAGCCGTTCCTAGCTCCAGACCAGAATAAAAAACACCCGGTAGTGTCAAATATATAGGGGGTTATGCGATAGACCATGCTTACTACAGCGATTAACGTGAAATTGGGTAGGCGATATATCTTGGGTCGTTCACTAGTTACCTGTACGCTAGTTGTGCATCGTTTGGGAGAATAAGAACCGTTTAGTTAACTCAAGTAGGTTTCATTGGAATTGCAAGCACATTCGCTACCGGGAACTACCATTTATCCTTGGAATACAAACAGCGGAAAGTAAGCGCATTGCCCCGTATGTATTATGGTGCCGCAGCGCATACGATACGTGGTTTATCCATGGTCGCATGGTCACTGCGACGCGGTGGTGTGCTTGAAAATATTTCGTCAACCGTGGGTTCTCCTTTGGTGATCACAAAAGCAAGTATCGGCGGTTGGTTAGCAGCGCAATCTGGTGGGTAAAGTCACGTGGTTGTACAGAGGGCAGCTGCAAATTACCTATTGTAAGCAGATGTTGAACTGCATGCTATCGGTCCCCGTTATTTCTGTGTCGTGCACATTAAAGTCGTCTGCAATGAGAATGTGACTGTACGTCTTGCTCAAAGCAACCTGAATAACATGGTTTAGTTTGGAGTCCATTCCACACGTAGAGTTTGGTAGACGGTAAACCGCAGCTATAAGACATGTGCCATTGTTCCACTACCATAGCCGGCGCGGATCTCTGGGTGGGCAACAAGTTAAGATCGGAGGTTACACTTGCAATACAGTATTACGCCAACACGTTTTCTAGCTCTTTCCTTCCAAATCTGTGATATGCTTGGTGAATTGATTTCAGAATCTTCTATCTCCAGGCTTAACCAGGTCTCCGTACTCAAAATGACATCCCCCAGTTGCGACGCCTGACGTTCTTTGAGTTCAGCCAACTTACAAAAATGACCTTGAGCGTAAGTGTACAGACATAGAAGTGTTTTGCTGTTAGAAGTGTGTGTGGGTGGACAAGAAATTCGTGTTTAGTTTTAACCCGACGGTTCGGCGGTCGGCCGCTAATCGTTTCTCACGTGGGTTATTGTTTCTTGACTTTCAGGCAGGTTGCATGATAGCACACAGCATCCCAGATTAAAATGTTCTGTTGTGTTTCCTTCTGTCCCCTTAGGTGTCCCTAATGCCATATTATCTGCAGCTCTGTAGGATTGTGGAGGCAACTATTTTACTGAAGCCGCATGTTCCAATGAAGTGCTGAAAACCAGTGGCCGTGTGCCTACTATCTTTAGCCTTATCTCGGTCGACAACCTCGGGCGATGCTTCAACCAACAACGTAGTAGAACATCTGTCACTCATTCTCAGTGTAGCACAACGCTAAGTATTTTTGGAACACAGCCATTGTAGTTTGGAGATAAGGGAATTCTCGTAAGTGATTTAAGGATAACGTGATTCAGAGAGTGGTTCGCGGATGTACCTGCACTGATCTCGGTTGTGTTTTTGCGCTTTATGCTCAGGAGAGCCCAGTAGTTCAGGAAAAGCATGAACAAATACGTTTTTCGTTTTAGTTCGTAGAAGGGTCACCATGGTTTTATTATGTTCTTGACGGTCCATTCCAAAGAATACTGGGAATATGCGTACCCTGCTCGATGGGTTGCGGAAATGAACTGTCGAGAGTAGGACTATCTCTGTCTCCTCAGTTGAATTCTCA